AAAACATACATTTTATTTATGATGTATATTCCAATTTATTTGAAGTATATTTGTGAGCGTGTGGATGTATCTGCTTATAAACACAAGAATGTTCTGACTGGTTATATCCAGCTGAAATAAAATTAAAAAGCATTTGCAGCCGTATCTGCTGTTTTTAAACAAATTTTGATCATATGATTATTACATATAGATAAATTAGGAAAGTGGGCACATTTCTCAACTATCCTCAACAGTAATAATTTGCACTGCAGCAAGGACAAAATATATATATATATATATACCTTTACTTGCTTGTTTTTATCAGTTCAAAAGCCATTATGTGTTTCTGTACCATATTGGTTGTGTGACCTAAGTCAGTATAGAAACTGAAAGTGCTTTCTGCCTCCAGCAAAGAAGAAGGCTATAAAATGATAAAAGGTAAAGATAATTTAATTAAGTAACTGACTTAGCTAATTAAGGTCACTCTCAAATTTATTTAGGTGTTCTTAAGCCCAGAATTGCTTGCAGGGCACATATTTATTCATATAAAGACAGTTACTTTTCCAGGTCTGTAGACTTCAGCATGTCTTTCTCACACTATAGGGCCAACATCCACTTATAAGTAAGCACATACCACATATTAATTTCTGCCTTTGGATTACCTCACTCAGGATGATCTTTTCTAGTTCCATCCATTTGCCTGCAAATTTCATGGATTCCTTTTTTTTAATAGCTTAGTAATATTCCATTGTGTAAATGTACCACAATTTCTATATCCATTCTTCAGTTGAGGGACATATAAGTTGTTTCCAGATTCTGGCTATTACGAATAAAGCTGCTGCGAACATGGTTGAGCAAATGTCCTTGTTGTGTGATTGAGCATATTTTGGATAAATGCCCAGAAGTGGTATAGCTGGGTCTTGAGGTAGCAGTATTCACAGTTTTCTGAGAAAGTGCCAGACTGATTCCCAAAATACATTCTCACGTGCTGATGTCTACACATCTGCAGAAGCTGAACAGCAGAGAGGACCCTGGAGAAGATGCCTAATTCTCATTCAGAAGGAAAGACAGAATAGACAACAGAAGTGGTAGAAGTGAGGGAACAAGTTGGGAGCCTACCACAGATGTCCTTAAGCTCTCTCTGAGCTTAAGGCCAGACTGGTATAGAACAAGTTTCAGGTAAAGACAAGCTTAGATCCTTCCATGGTGGTACATGCCTTTAATCCCCAACAATGAAGTTTGTAGAAGGATGCATCCATGTTTGAAAGTAATGTCTAATTGAGTGGCAGAAAAGGTGATGAATCAGAGAAAGAGTACACTGAGTAGGATAAGCCTAATTTTCAGGAGAAGAAAGAGAAATAGGGAAGCTAGTTAAGGGGCAACAAAGAAAGAAGAGGCAGTTCACTGTGACAGTAATAGAAAAACAGGTTGCAGAGACAGAACTCAGGTGAAGATGAAATGAGCCAGAGAATGAGAAGGAACCAGAGATTAGAGCAGATTGCTTGAGTTAGATTAAGGCCAAGCAGAGCAACTCAGGGGCTGAGAGAAAAGGCAGACTGAGTAAGTTAGCTGGGAGAGGAGTTTCAGCCAGAACAGCTGAGTTGAGCCAGCCAGCCTAGAGCTAAGTAAGAACAAGAAAGAGTGAGCTTTTTCAGCAGTAAGTATCAGAAGCTGAAAACATTCTAAGCCTAGATTAGATTATAAAGTGGATAGAAACTTCCAGGACTAGGCCTAGGTTAGCAGGAGGCAATAAGCCTCCGAGACAACTACCACCACAGGAGAATAAAAGTTCCTCTTATATGGATGATAAGTAATTTTCAAGTTTTTAGTTTTAAATTTATGTGTATCTATGTTTGCCTTTACATATGTTTGCATATCTGGTGACATTGGAGGCCAGAAGAGGGTATCATCCCCTGGAGACAGAATCACAGATAGTTGTGATCTGCCATTTGGGTGCTGAGAATTGAAGTTAGGTCCTCTGGAAGAGCATCCAATGCTCATCACCACTGAGCCATCTCTCCAGCTCCATTTTATGTTTTCAAAGTGTAATCCAGGAACATTGCTCTGGTTAAATACCAGATGTGGAAAAGTTGTGTCATTTCAAATATTTCAGAACTTTATTCCCATTGAGGGGATGTTTGAGAGGTTTGGAAATGTAGCAAAATTAGATATCCCTTATTTCTTCTGTAAATAATATGCACTGAAAATCCCTCAAGGGACAACCTGAATCATGCTGTATCTTTGTTCTTTGGGTTCTGTTAACCAATTCTGTTTTCTAGAACACTGCTCTTTCTGGCTCATACTTGTTAACCAATGAAGGTCCCAAGTTGAACAGTACTATTGTGTTCGTACTTGTCACACATAACTATGACAATTTTCCATTTTGATTCATGTGACACTTGAGACTTATTAGATTCATTAAGGGAAAATAGCAGAAGTGGATGAAGAGAGGTAACAGGATAAGAGAGGGAGTGGAAAGGAAAATGAATGTGGGGACCAGATGTTGGGAGAGCAGGGTGGGAGTCCAGAGTGCTTAGAAAAAGAAGATAAACTAAGGACAGGGGCATCTCTAAGACATGCTGGAGAGCTACGACAGGGTAGGCTCCTGGGAGGATATGGGAGTGACTCTAGCTAAGACTCCTGGTAGCAGGGGTCATGGAGATTGAAGAGACCAGCTTTTAACCAGACAAAACTTCTAATAGAGGAAAAGGACACCAACCCATCCATAAAACCTTCAACCCAAAATTTATCTTGCCTACAAGATATGCAGGGGTAAGATATAGTGGAGATTGAGGAAACGTCCAATCAATGCCTGACCCAACCTGAGACCCTTTCCATGGGAGAGAGACAACCCCTGACACTATTAACAATACTCTGCTATGCTTACCTATGGGAACCTAGGGTAGCTGTCTTCTGAGAGGCTTCACCCAGCAGTAGATCAAAACAGATGCTGAGACTTACAGCCAAATATTAGGCAGGACACTGGAAGCCTTGTGTAAGAGTCAGGGGAAGGACAGAAGTCCCCAGAGGGGACAAGAACTCCACAAGAAGACCAACAGAATCAACTAACTATGGAACAGGGGCACTAACGTAGACTGAAGCACTAACCAAAGACCAAGCATGGAGTGGACCCAGGCCCCCTACACAGATGGGCAGCTTAGTCATCATGTAGGTCTCGTAATAAGGAGAGTAAGAGTTGTCTGATGTGGATTCTGTTACCTGCTTTTCAATAACTTCCCCCTGGGGAGGCTGCCTTTACCAGCCTCAGTGGAAGAGGATGTGCTCAGTCCTGATGCAACTTGATATGCTGTGGTGAGTTGATGGGGAACTCCCCTTTCTGAGGAGTAGGGGAGGGGGGAATAGAGGGAAGAGGGAAGGAGGTTGAGACAGGGAGGAGAGGAGGGAGGGGCTACGATCAGGATGTAAAGTGAATACATGAAAATAAATAAATAAAGAGTACGTTATTATTAAGTAAGAAAAAATCTACATACAGAGAAACAGACCAATTGTGAGCATAAAGAACATTGTTTATCCACTTATGGATGCACAACAGAGGAAGATGGGCCATCTACATAATAAAACTCTAAAATGCTACTTCCAAATAGAATTTATGAAGAATTCTATCATTAATTCTGTGAGGAAACATAGAATTTCAAAATTATTTCTTATTTTTTGAAAACATATTATAACATCATTATCCTCTCCCTTTTCCTCTTTGCAAAGCCTCTTTGCTCTCTTTCAAACTGGTGAGCTCTTCTCTCATTAATTCTTGTTGATGTGTGTATTTGTGCATGTGTGTATAAAACTCATATTTTATACATGTAATCACTTATATATGCATATATGAAACTAATGATAAAATGTGAGTAATAGAACATCAAACAAACAAATTGGGAAAGGATTAATTTTATAAAAACCCATCCACACTTTATGAATTCTTTTCTTAAAAATAACAAAGAAGAGATTTTGGAAGCCAAATTTAGAGAAATGCTTTTTATTTCCCTCCATTCACTAGGTACCCAGCAAAATTATAGATCAATTGTGATAAAATTTGTGGTATCAATAAATACATGATATTGTTTTGTTCTTTTTAACTTAATAGATTAACAACAAAATTAACAAAACTATTCATGAAGATGTAAGTATTGTTAAAATGTTCATCATACTTTCTAGCCAAGGTAAATATGGTAAATATTTGAATGCAGTTACCTGCCATCTATCAGTGATCTAGTATCCATTTAGCTGTCAACTCATAATCTTTTCTTTCAGATTCTCTCTGTAATCCTCCACTCACATATGTATACAGTCACACAAATATGCATATGTCTCTGTGTGTCTTTGTGACCCACATACATGAAAATAGAGCACTAGGATATAACAGAATAAAACCCAGAATCAAGACTTCCTATAAGTTTTAGAATAACAAAATGTCCTCAGAATAATGTAAAAGTTCTGTATCATGCTGCATTTTGTTCAGGAACCATGAGAGATACCAAGTTCTGAAATATCCAAAGTCACTAAGAGTTAAAAAGCACACACTTTGGTTGTCTTTCAACTACCATTTTGGGAACTTGTAGAAGCTGATGAGACTTTAAACCTTCCTAATGCTGCAGCCCTTAATACTTTCCTTCATCTTGTGGTGACCCCCCAACCACAAAACCATTTTCAATACTACTCCATAACTGTAATTTTGCTGTTGTTATGAATTGTAATGTAAGTATCTGTGTCTTTCAAAGTTATTTTGTGGGGCATGATTCACAGGTTGAGAACCACTACTCCACAGGCTACACTTGTCCTCTTCCAAGAAAAGGGAAAGGCAAAAGTGAATAGGGCAAGCAGCCCCGAATCACAACCAACACAATCGGACACACAGCCTTCCATCATCCATGCAGAGTGGTGCAGAGTCGTGCCTACAGCTCTTTCAGCAAAGGCACTACTGACTATGCTCCTTCTGTCTTATTTTATCACTATTTTCTCATTTTCTTTACTCAGACAATACTTGGTGGAAAATGACGTCTTACCCTTTGTGTGAGATGTGGTGGAATCTTCTAGGGTAGGGTCCGTCTCTCCACCTTTTCTACCGCCACCTTCAGCACCTTCTTCATTGCGACTGGCTCTCTCGATCAGTTTGTCGACTGTAGCAATAATGCAGTTCAGGCTCTTCCCCACGTTGGCCCACACCCTATCCTGAAGACAGTACAAGTGTCACTAGGATTTTACAACTAAGTCATGATTATCCTGTTTAGAGAAGCAGCTAGAACTGTGAATATTGAGTGAGAGACTACAGTATCCTCACTGTAGTCTCCCCCATTCTCAACACAGCTCTGTCCACCAGATCCTTATATCTTCTGCTTGTCATGTGCTGTTTCTTGTGATGCAGCTACATAACTCACTTCATCTTTGTGATTTATTTCCTGGGAAACAGCTCATGTCACTAAGGGACCTCTTTGCCACTGGTGTCCCCAGTTCTGACAAGTTTGTACTTTTTAAATTCATTGATTCATAAAAACTGCATTAATTTTTAAATAAATATTTCAAACATAGCTACTTTGACAGAAGAGACTGGTCTCCTTCTTAGTATCCTTCCTCTGTAATGCAGACACCTAACTCAGGCACTGATGAAAGTGATGACGTCCTTCTCTCTATACAGATATGAATTAAGTAGATTTGTAGTGGTCTCCAAGCAGAAAGTAGTTTTTCAGTGGTATCTCCTCTATGACAGAGCTATTTCAGATCCCTGTTATGCCATTTAGCATGAAGCTAATACTGAATGTTAGCATACTGTCTTTGGTTTATATGTTTTCCTCATAAGTGTGTAGTTTGCATCTAAGTTAATTTTGTAACAAACTTACTTGGAAGAGGACAAATCTAAGAAGAAAACCTACATATGAATTTAGATTATTTGATTGTTCTCTCATAAGAATTAAGTTAAATAATCTATCCTTGTGTATACAGTTGCTCAGTATAGCTGAGAACATTTGCTCTCTTCAATTCAACATCTATAGAATTTCCTATTAAAGAGGCACAAAGTAAGGAAAGGTCATTTTGAGGATTTATACAACACATAAATGTGTACGCTGGCCAGAGCACCCCATTTCTGAGAACTCACTTGCCTCCAACAATTTGGGATGATAATTCTTGCTCCACCCCCTTCAACGTGGTAACATCAGAGCCAAGTGAAGCACTGTGACTTGTATGAAAGTATTTAGGGAATCATTACAGTTTAGCAGGGCCCCTTCCAGCCTGGCTCACTTTCCTCAGTGAGTCAAGCTTGCTTCCTTTCACCCTGCAATCTTGCCGGTGAAGTGTGCTATTAATCACAAATAATCATAACAATCTTTTCACAAGAGGCAGATCTTTCCTTCAAACCACAGAGAAGACTTCCCCTCTCAGGGAAATTCAGACAGTAATCACAACTGTGGATTGCATCATCCTCTGCATGCTGCCTGGAGAAATGAGGTGCAGGTGCCCCTGAGCTGGGAGGGAGATCAAGTAAGCAAGAAATACTGGGCAAAAGAAATAAGCAGCTGGGAAGCTGGTTCAGTTGTGGATTTGGTGGGGAACATACTTTCTGACCATAATGACTAACTAAATTACCTCTATAATAAATACACCTTACCTGCTATCACCAACTTTATCTGTAAAATGATAAAATTAAAGAGTAAAGCAATTCTCTTTCTGATCCTGGCAATAAACCCTATTACTGAGAAGCAAACAAAGAACAGATTCTTTTCAAAATTTCAGATTAGCTTTGCATGGAATGCAAATTTTCAATTTCCTTCCTGCTGCCCAGGTGAAAGGAAGTTTATGTCTTGATCCTAGAGGCTTCATGCTGCCTTTCTATGTAAAGAAATACCAGAGGTGACTTGATTGCTTGTAATTTCATCTCTAAAGCACCTGAACACAAAGATATTTTGAAGGTGTTATGATATCCACACCTCTATATGTGTCTTCATTTGCATATCCCAAGATTACAGGATTCTCCTGGTAGAGAACTTGACTTCAGTTGCAAGCAAAGGTACTGTTATTGGCCTAATGAGCACAGTGAAGCTTGCTCAGTGACCAAGGACCTCAGAAATACAGTAATTGTGATGAACAGAAGGCACATATGTAGTTATTCATGTTCAGAGGACATTCCCTGAGAGTGAGAAATGAACAGGCTCTTATGCAATCCTTACACGTAATGAATGGATAATCAAACTTTTCTTAGAACATGCTTAGCAGCAGACCCTGAGCAAATACACTCCATTCTTCAACTGTGGAAAAGATAGCCTGTTTCAGTGAACGTGGGAGACTGTACTCTGCTCATCATTGTTTCTTCTTTATGGCTTCTGCAGATTAAACTTATTGATTTGTGCCTTACTCTAATGCTAGACTGTAAATTCTTTGAAAATGCTGCCTTCATGCTATAGGACAGAGACTATCCCTGAACAATTTTTTGAAAGTAAGAAAAAATTATGAAAAGGCAGAAACAAGTCAGGGGCCTGGGACTGTTGTCTCTATTTATCTATCATCTATATACTTGATAATTTCACTTTCAAAAACCATCAAATAAGTACATATTATTGACTCAGTTTTCTGAGAGGTAAGACTTTAGATGAGATAGGAATAGAAACATTAAACATTAACATGGCAAAAAACCCAAAAATCAAAACCAAAAAACTTCATTTTTCTTGACTCCAAAGACTTGGGTTCTGCAATGTGTTTCCAGATACTGATGACACATCATAACACCCAGATCAGAGTCAGGAGAAGAGATTCCCATGCAGACTCAGAGAGACAGATACCATTTACATTGCTAAGGTTTTCCTTCATTTTTCTGAAAGAGATGCCATATTAAACACATTCAACTAAAAAACAGGCTAGTTACACATACCCTGAAGTCTGATGCAAAAGATGTCAAGGAAGCAAAACACTTTAACAAATGCCCATCAGGCTACTTCACAAACATAAGTGGTATGGCTAGTAGAGGAAGAGGACAGGCCCCAGATCCATTTCATAAATGGGGTACACAGAAGAACAAAAAGTAAAAAGAGGAAATATGATAATTTAATTATAAAGTAACTGAATAGTAATGACTCCTTGGCAAGATTCTTAAAAGGAAACCTTAGGTATCTGAGTTCTCTCCTAAAGGAGATCATTCCTTTAGATCTAAAAATATGCATAGAAGAAAATGAGCAGCAAACATACCCTCTCATTTTGACAGTTATTGCTGAGCCAGTCTCTGGAAGAGGCTCATTAAACTTCTGCTGCTGATATGAAGGGGACATGCTCCCTTCTCTTTTCTGCTGCAACTCCACTGTATATTCAGGTGTGTTTTCAAGCTGAAGAAAGGCTGGTGATTAGTGAGAAGAGGTAGGAAGCATAGAGGTGTAACATTAATCCAAAGAGCTTATGTCTCTCTATCTCTTCAGGCCAGAGGTGGTGAACTAAGCCCAAACTCTGCGTAGCTCTCCTATGCCAGAGTTTTTAAGATAACCACTCCCTATCAGAGAGACAGATTGGAAAGGCCATTCCCTAGAACTAGCAGCAATTACCCTACTGTGAAGAAGTACTGGATGGTTGGGGGGTTACCGTCTAACCCTATTAAATGGAGCCTGAGCTTTCATTGATATCATTAACCTTGATGGAGACTCTATGACTACCCTTCTCCTGAGAGGTGAAGTGGCTATAAACCTTTTCAAGTCACCAAGGACATAAAGCAAATGGAAAACTATGGCAACATTTACTTCATTCTAAGATGGTTGCTGGCCTAGGCCCGTATTTATTTGTGGGTTAGAATAAGCTAGCATAAAGGTCAAAACCAGCGTCATAATTGAAAATGTTTGATAGATGTAGTAACATGTATCAGGGAGATTATTACAGCTGCCAGAGTGAACCATGAGGGTAGAAAGCACAGTGATTACTCAGCATGTCACATGTTTATAAACCCTGCAGCATCAAGAGAGAACTTGGATCAATAGTGAACTTTGAAAAGATAGCTCAGTAATGCTTAGCTGATCAACTTTTATGAGGGCAATTTTTGATCAGTGAGAATGTAATAACTCAACCAGAATACTGACATAGATGTCTAAAATTGTGTGTGTGTGTGTGTCCATAAATACTTTCTCATTGGCCATTATACATTTCTAATGTCTTTGGTTAGAAATACTGAGTGAAATAACAATGTCAATCTTCTCTTCAATTCATCTTTGGCATAAATGGAACATTTTACTCTAGACTAACCATGCTCTTTAACACTAAAAAAAATCTCTGCTCCTTCTACAGCTTAGGAGGTCTTCTCTCTGAATCTTAATTTAGATTATTAGTTACAATGATTTGCACATGAATATTCTATAGGGCAACCAGCACATATATGACCCAAGATATATAAGTCTCAAACCCCTATCAGTGCACATAAGTCCACTAAAAATACCAAGACTCAATGGCATTCAGTGGAATCAAGAGCAATTTCCTAGCTTTGCCTACTGATGATCTTCTTGCTTTCCCTCAACTCAGCTGCTAGTGAAAATTCTTTGTTTGTCATACCCCAGCAACCAAAACAAGTTTGTAATTCATTCCTAGTATTATCCTGAGACTCAGACTCTGTTCACACTAATAGTCTTATATAGTCATCCACTATTTTGCAAGCAATGACCTCTCCTTATTTGTTCTTTTTGTTTGGGTCCTTACCCATACCTGTTATCTGTCTTGTAGTGAGGTAGAAGTTAGGCCTAGCCACAAGTGCTGCAGTCATCTTCATTCATCACCATGATTATGTCATCATTCTGGACCAAATAAAAGCTAAGTACCAGAGTTGGTACTATAACCTTTCTCAGACTGGAGCCACTTGTATAGCCAGAAGGACTGTAGTGAAGTTTTGCTTCTTTTAAACACCTACTTTTATGTTTTTGTTTTAACCCCAAGTGTGGAATATGGGACTGCTGTTGTTTCTCCACAGCTAATAATAGTCTCATGTGGTTCTGAGTGGGGCGTGGTCTTTGCTGGCTGCAAATAGTTTAATTTTGAGGACTCTGGGAGGATATAAATACCAGAGCCAAGAGAGGCTCAGAGATGAGGCTTCAAGGAGAACACCCTGAGAGAAGGAGAGACAGAGACTGACAGAGACAGAGACAGAGAGAAAGAGAGAATGTTTCTTTGAGAATGAAGAAGGCTGCTGCATTTGCTGGTTTGTTGGTTAGCTGGAC